CCCGACTATAATTTCCACAATGACACTTACTCAAAACACTGATAACTATTGTCAGTGTAAAATAACCATTTTACCCTTGTCTAGAGTCAACATGCTGGTCAAGGTAAACTTCCACTTGACCTGACTCGCCGAGTTAGCCCGCCAACTCGTCCAGTCCCCTAGTCCTTCATTTTTCCTCAACCTGATTCTACTCGCCGAGTTTAGCAAGAACTCGACGAGTATTCTTTTATTCATGATATTGGGACAACCTTTAACCGACTCGCCAAGTTGTATGAACAACTCGTCGAATCTATCTTCATGGGTTGGGAGATTGCTTTGGACTCGCTGAGTGTGCTCTTCCACTCACTGAGTCCCATGGTTTCCAGGCCATGGCTATGCCCTAATACGTTGAGTCACTCCTCTGGAGTCATCAAATCTCTTTTAAACTCAACTGGGTTCCCTTGAACCCTGAACTGATTTGGGGAACCAACACATGACTCGCTGAGTCCCAAAACAGACTCGTCGAGTCTACGAATGACGAAGTCCATAAGTCGATTTCCGATGTGCAAAACTTAACCAATAGGTAGATCTGGGCTCCTATGGACGATATATCACGTAAAGTCATAAACTTTACGTGCTTGCATGAAGCTTTCGAGCTTAAAGAGTCAAAATGGGGGTTAATAGCATGCATGGGGGTTCTTATGGCAATAAAGATGGCACCTTTATGCCATGAGGACCCTTCAAGGTCCAGATCTAAAGGTGTATCAACTTGGGACGTCCAAATCCCAAGAATCAAGCTTCAAGGCCCAAAATAACCACAAGAAGATCTAGGAAATCATAAGTCAAGTGTGAAGCATTATTACCAGAAAATGAGGAGAAGATGGTGTTGATTCTGGATCTGGAATCTCCTCTTGAATTCCTCCTTCTTCCTCTTCTTCACCCAAACTTCAACACACAAGGTAGCTGTAGCACTTGGTTCCCCGTTTGGAGCTTAGAAGAAGAAGGAGGAGATTGAAGAGTGCAAAGAAGGGAGTAGATATGAAATATACACTGTGAGAAGCTTCCATTCATGTAGAAAAGTTCATACCTTGATCACTAGTTCATTAGATACCATTTTTGTCCCAAATTGGTGGTTTTCAAGCCCTAAAACATCAAACTCCATGTGTTTGTGCTTAATGATCCGAAAGGACTTTAGATCTTGACCTTGTGGATGTATTAGAAGCATAAAGTTCCTGTGGACGAAATGATTGAGGTCCCCATTGAGTGTATGACCTCATAAAGAGCTTGGATTTTCCTTTTGAAGCTTGTAGGGCCATGCATGCACGTAAAGTTTGCAACTTTACATGATAAGCATGCCCCTAGGAACATAGATCTATGGTTTTGAAGCGTTGCATGTCTAATATTTGGTCTATATGGGAAATGGGTCAAGGGACTCGGTGAGTCACAAAGTGGAACTCAACAAGGTCTTTGAAGACGGCCTTAGACTCGACGAGTTGGATGAACAACTCGGCGAGTCCTATGATGATTGCCTAGTACTCGACGAGTTGTTCTTCAAACTCAGCGAGTCAGATGAATAATTATTGAGTATGAGGGGTTTAGATGTTGAAGGTCCAACCCTTCGTATTTACACGCGGAATTAGCAATCTAACGTGTTGCAATAGTCCCAGAAACCCAAATCCTCATAAGGGATGCTCTGGTGAGGATTTGAAAGCGAGTGGGAGGTCTGCTCGTATGGACTCGGCGAGTTGTTCTTGGACTCAGCGAGTCGGATCGCGAGCCGGTTCTATCATCCTAAGTAGTGAGTTAAGGGTGACTCAGTGAGTGGGAAGAGGGGCTTGTAGAGTATGACCGGGTTAGTAGGAGAAGGGCTCGGCGAGTCGGTGCCATGACTCGGCGAGTCCAGTCAACTGGAAGTTGACTTTAACCAAGGAGTTGACCTTGGACCAGGGGAGGGTCAGTCATCTGATCTAAGGGTGTGAATGAGTGGCTAATCTATGTTTATGATTTATAGCTGAAGGATTACCGATTCGGCAGTCATGCGCTTAGCAAGCAGGCTTTCAGCAACTACTTTTTGAGGTGAGTTACCTTCTAGTAGCGGTGGGTCTAAGGCCACAATGCCGGCCCACTAGTAGGAGATATATGATAGATGATTGTCTTTGTGATATCATCTAGGTTGGTTACTACCTGATATGTTATTTGCTAGCATGATATGTTGTATGTGATAGTAGTAGAGTTCGGTTGTTAGGACCGAAGGGCAGTTTAGGCACCCCAGATATGTCTGATAATATGATTATGTTATGTTATATGTGATAGTAGTAGTAGGGGGTGAAATAGTCCCCGAGGTTCGGTTGTTAGGACCGAAGGGTAGTCAGCACCACAAAATGGCTTGACATGGGTAGGTCGGCACCTCATAATGGTCGTATGGGTAGGTCGGCACCCCAGAATGGCCGTACCGGGTAGGTCGGGCACCCCAGAAATGCCTGACAGTTTGTATGTGATATGATTGTATGGTATGTGGTACGATGGGTTGGACTCACTAAGCTTCGTGCTTATAGTTTTCAGTTTTGGTTCCAGGTACCTCTTCAGCGAAGGGGAAGGAGCCGGTGCGGTAGTGGCACATCATACACACACTTTGGATTTCCACTTTATTAGATGTTCTTGGATTGTACTCTGCCATTATTATTATTTTCTTGTTTTGGGTTTTCAGACAAGTAATATGTTTTATGAAATGATATGATCGGATGATGTTTTGCTATAAATATTTTACAAACCACTTATTTTAAATGAAATTTTTGGGCGTGAAAATTGGGTTGTTACAGTAGCTCAAGAAATGGCACACAAATACTCACAAGGCTCAAAATTGGCGGTTTAGGGTTTTTTGGACGTTGAGAGAGTGATAAGGGAGGTCATAGGGACGTTATGTTCTTTAAAAATGGAGGCAAACCCTTCAAATTAGGGTTTTCATCAGACAGCGCCTATTCGCCGAGTCGGTCCTCCGACTCGTCGAGTAGACTACTTAGTTCCCGAACCGGATTCGATCTTACTTGACGAGTTGTGCCTTCAACTCATCGAGTCCAAGGGTAAAGTTATATAATTGACTTAATTAAATGCATATCTGAAACCGGGTGTTACATATGTTTATGAAAGAAATGATTTGATAATTATGGTTTGTATAGTGATTTAAAAATGAAAATTTTGGACCGTATTTTTAGAATGTTTCACCTCTCTACTTTTTAAAATGTTACTTAGACTCCTCGACTTTTACCATCGACATTTTCACCCCTCTACTTTGTAAAATGACATTTTCCACCCATCTACTTTTTAAAATGTCACTTTGACCCTCTTGACTTTAAGCTTTGTATAATATCACTTTTCACCCCATTCATTTTCTAAACTTTAGTATTTATTCCGCATAGTATACATAATCTGATATTCCTTAGTAACTTTCATTCATTAATTTGAAAAAAATTATTTTTTGCATGCTTATTTTTATGTATGTGTTGATATAAATTCAATGTAGTCAAAATTTCAACGTAAATTTATAACTTTTGTTTGTAAAGTTTTTTTAAAAAAATTATGTGACTTTCTTACGTACGTGTGTATATCAGTTTGAGTTTATCTACATTTCAACTCTAGAAACATAAACTATATTTTCGTTTATTTTCAACATGTAACAATTTATTTTCTACTACTTCTTTAATTTATTATTGCCACTTTAACATGTGGCGGGTAAAATCCTAGTTTTAATTAAAAGACAAAATTTGCAAAAAAGATATAAATAAAAATTTATGAAATAAAATATTTATAATTACATATTATATAATTTTTTATACTACATAAAGTTTAAAATAAATTAATTTACAAATCATTATTGATTTGATAAAAAAAAAAAAAAAAAAAAAAAAAAAAAACTATTTATACATATTTGACTAATATTTTAAAGAAGCAACATATTTAAATATAGTAAATATAAAATAGAAACATGAAATACAAAAGAGTGTAATTATTATATAACATGAAGATTATAAAAGTCGTAATAATCATTAATCATAGATTTATAAAAAAAAAATAATAATCTTACAAGTCAACAACAAAATAAATAAATAAACAAGCATTGGATAAATAAATAAATAAACTGAAAATAAAGTAGACCTGATAGTCATTCAGATTATTGAAAAGAGACATAAAAGTAAGATACATGTCCTATACATAGAAAATATGATATGATCGTATGATACGTACATAAAGTAAAGAAATCAAGAAAAATAAAAGTTATTGATTCAAGTTAGCATTAAAAAGATACTTGTTGTATATTTTCACTCCTCTAATATTTGATTTTACAAAAAATGATGCTTAAATTATATGTACAGAGCTTTGCAAGCAAAAAAGTGTTTATATGCATCCTCAAAACATTATTTTTATCAGTAAGAACAAAAAGTATTCCCAAAAAAGTTTTTGTTTAGAAATTGCATTGTAATATGATGCATATATCTTTCCTTTTGCAGGAGCATTCCACATGTTAAGCGTCACTTGCAACAATGTTTGGATAAGAAAGATTTTTAAGAAGCTTTCTTTCTTCAAGATCTGTATTTGTACCTAATTGCACAATTCATTAAGCTAAGCAACCACTAAAAATAATAAATTGAATGCTGATTTTATGGGATTTGTTGTATAATCTATACTATCTAAATAATAGAAAATATAGTATCATGATTGAAATCAAATCACAATTAAGGGTATAAATGTAATTTACTATGAAAATACAAAAGACGGGATTATAAAATATAGTATCGTGTCAACAAATAACTATTATTTCATTATAATTATAATAAAAAAAATATAGGTAGATAGATATAAGTTAAAAGGATTATAAATCTAACTTTATGTGTTTAATATAAATAACTATTTCAATTTGGGGCTACCACCTATTTTCAATTGGCTAATTCAATTTGTGGGGCTACAATCCTATCACAAATGAAATAAAAACCACCATATTTTTACAAAACTAAACTAGAAAATAACCCATATTTGCAAAAAAAAAAAAACTATTTTTGTCTTCATCTCCCTCCAAAATGTTATATCTTTCCCTCTCATCACCCACTCCTCGTTCTTACCTTCCAAAGCCTTTCTCTCTATCAACCAACAAACCCCGTTTCCATGTACTCTCGAAAAACCAATTCTCCGGTGGTGGAAACACTTCGCCGGAGGAACCAGTTGTTACTCCCGAGGGACTCCGCCGTGAGTTAATGCCGAAGCACGTAGCAGTCATTATGGATGGGAACAGAAGATGGGCTCAGTCTCAAAGATTGCTGCCTCAGGTCGGTTACTTGGCGGGTGCCGCAGCCTTGAAGTCGGTGATGGATGTGTGTCGTAAGTGGGGAATCCAGGTTCTAACAGTCTTCGCTTTTTCAACAGATAACTTGTTAAGATCCAAACTATGTGTAACATTGATAGTAGATTCCAGTTTCATCGATTGTTTTCTGGGTTTAATCGATTAATTGCTTCTGTTTATGCTTTTATGGTAGATTGAAGTCGATCCCCTCCTTGGTATGTTTGTAAGTAAAATAAAAGATGAAATTGCTTATATGGAGAGGTAAATTTCTGTTGATTACAACATGGAAGTGTGATAAGTTGTCTTAATCATTTGCTTGATCGAACAGGGAGAATATCCGGCTTTCTGTCATTGGAGACGTATCAAAGCTTCCGCAATCCTTGCGTGAAGTTATCACACATGCTGAAAACGCCACGAAGAACAATTCACAACTCAATCTTGTTATAGCGATTAATTACAGTGGGAAGTATGATATCGTCCAAGCTTGTCAAAGCATCTGCCAAAAAGTCAAAGATGGCGTGGTAGAACCTGAAGAAATCAATGAGTTTATGATCGATAATGAACTTTGTATGAACTTGATGCGGTTTCCAGATCCTGATCTTCTTATTCGGACAAGTGGGGAGGTTAGAGTGAGCAACTTCTTTTTATGGCAGCTGGCATATACTGAACTATACTTCACTGAAAACCCTTTGGCTGGATTTTGGAGAAGATGAACTTTTACGTGCTTTACATGTTTTTCAACAGAGACCAAGGCGATATGGTGTATGATTTTTTTTAGGGGTTGGTTAAAAAGACACCCTATTTTATCATTTAGACAACCCTAATTAATGTTTGAAATATTTTTATCGGTTAAAATTGCATTATTTTCCGAAAAAACTGATTACAAGTAGTTGATTATAGGTTGACTTTTTATAAAAATGATTATAAAGTGTTTAAGAAGTGTCTTATCAGCAGTTCCCTTTTAGTTCGATTAAAAGATTGAGCACATGGCATATACTTTGACTTTTGAGGTGATGCCGACTTTTTCAACTATTTAGGTTTTAAACACTTTGATAAACAATAAAATATTTCTTTTTCTAGTAATAAATGTAAACGAAAAAACAAAGACAATCAATTTTCGTGGTTCATTTGATTAGAATAATCGGTTACGTTCATAACGAATACGAAAGAAAGATTTTAATGCTTTCTAGTGAATTGTGTCTAAATTGTTAGCTTACACGAATTCAAAAGAATATAAATATTAGTTCTTTGAGCTAAGGGCATCCACAATCCATTATTATATCATCCATTAAACATCTATACAACACCATCCACAACGTGTTTTGATGTTGTTTTTGATAAAAGAACTAAGACACAAAAAATTTCTTCTTGATGCGTGCCCAAGTCCCCCATGATTGGTTTGTATAACGGCTATAGGGTCAAACGTTCATAACTCAACATAGATACTGTTAGTGGATAAAATCTTTTTGAAAAGTTAAATACACGTCTAGTTATATTTATGTTGGGTGTTATGCCTCTGCTGCAAGCTAGCAGTGTTAAGTTGGCAATGTTGTCACGGGCGGAAAACATCCTTTAGGGTAGTGTTCGTGTTAGGGATTAGTGTCTCGAAAAAGTAAATTGCAAAAGCTAATTTTGATGAAAATTTCTAAAGAAAAACAAATTTGATCATATTTGTAACAAAATTTAAAATATATATCAATTTCATAATAATAAAACATAGAGAAAATGATAAAAATAGCCATTTACACTAATTACATTACAAAAATAGCCAAAAAATATCGAAATTACAAAAATAGCCAACGATTTCGCAGATGGAAATGCCCCATCTACGAAATCAGCATGCCATCTGCGAAAGTACAAGCAGCTAAAGCACAGTTGTGCTTTAGCTGCTTGTACTTTCGCAGATGGTTTTTTTTTTAATTTTTTAATTTTTTTGTGTATATATAGGGGTAATTTCGCAGATGGAAAAGGTCCATCTGCGAAATACTCTCACTCCTATCTGCGAAATACTTATTTTTTTTGTATTTTTTTTTAGTTTGACTATGAAATGAATTGGTTTGACTACGAAATCATGTTGCTATATAAAAAGTTTTGTTGAAAAATATCATGTTGCTACATGATTTCGTAGTCAAACCAATTCATTTCATAGTCAAACTAAAAAAAAATACAAAAAAAAAAATCAATATTCACATATAGGAGTGAGAGTATTTCGCAGATGGACCTTCTCCATCTGAGAAATTACCCCTATATATACACAAAAAAAAATAAAAAAAACCACCTACGAATGTACAAGCACCTAAAGCACAGTTGTGCTTTAGCTGTTTGTACTTTCGCAGATGGTATGCTGATTTCGCAGATGGGGCATTTCCATCTGCGAAATCGTTGGCTATTTTTGTAATTTCGATATTTTTTGGCTATTTTTGTAATATTATTAGTGTAAATGACTATTTTTGTCATTTTCTCTAAAACATAAGAGATGTGCTAAAAATGTATAATTAAAAAAAAAATGCTATATATAATATAGTAGGTGGAAAAAAAAGTTCATTTTACACTAAATTTTATTGATATATCTATATACATCCTTCGACTCCACATCTTTTGATTTTTTGTTTTTTTTGTTGTTCTTATTTTTTTGTCTTTATATTTTATCTTTTTGTTGTCATTTTTCTTTTATTAATATTATTTCATTTATTTGATTTAGACAAAACTGCCATAATAATCCTTATGTATATTTCTTCTGAGGTTTAGTGTAAACCTTTATTTTTTTTTTTAATCTTTTGAGCTAGTTTTTTTTTTGTCCTAGAAAACTAAAAAATTAAAATGCCCTTTTGTTTTTAATTATATATTCTTTAATATTTATTTTTATATTTTATTAACTAAAAACAAAAAAAAAGACACACACACATACCTAATCTCTCTCTCTCTCTCTCTCTCTCTCTCTCTCTCTCTCTCTCTCTCTCTCTCTCTCTCTCTCTCTCTCTCTCTCTCTGCAACCTAGATGAAAGCAATGAAAAATCATCTGATATCCAAACGATACCCACCTAATTTAAGGGCATCAACCTCCATAATCCAAAATTAAGCCACCAAACTGAGTAATATAAAGAAACCCATCCATAGATTGAAGTAAAGGATGTTGATTGGAACACATAGAACAAACATCAACCAAATATGAAGAGAAACACCGAAAGCAAATCGATATGGTTCCTTCTTCATCATTGATTTAGATGTGTAGTTTTGAGTTTCTTCACAGACCACAAACATGTGGAGTAATGATGGTTGATCTGTATTTTTATTTTTGATTCTTACTTGAGTCAAAGAGTTTTTAGGAGGAACAATCGTTCATCTGGTTTTCGATTTCATTGCTTGAGTTAAACAATATATATAAAATGAACATAACCCCCATAAATTTATTCATTTTTTCTTGAGTTAATAAATTTAAATTAAAAAAATGAAAACTATAGAATTTTACAAAATATGTTTTATAATTTTGTTTAATTTATATATAATACTAAAATAAAAACAGCTACCGATATAACAATTTCTAAGATGGATGGATGGCTTGCTTTAAAACTTTTACATATAAGATTTTGGAAAAAAGATAAGTAAAAAAATAGGGAAAATGAATAATTTTAATAAAGGTGCAAAAGGCCCACATACGATAGGTGAGACGTGTCCGGATGGAAAATGGCTGACACTATTTAGGTATAATGACTTGAGAGGGTAACATACTTTTGAATTTGATCACATTTGGTCACTGAACTTTTTTTCGTGCTCTATTAACCCTTAAACTTGTTGAATTGTGCTAATTTTCCCCTTATGATCAGGTTTAGTCGGTTTCAATGGATTTATTGATCCTACGTGTTAGTTTGATCTACATGGCATGTAGGGTTCTTGTTATTAAAGGAGGAACGTTTGTTGTTCCTTTATTGTTCCCTAATACCTCGTTGCCCTAATACCCGATGGCTTCCTCCTACAGCTTCTCATCCTCCCTCAATCGATCAAGCAAGAAATCCACAGTGAATGATTCAAAAACTTGTGATTGTGGGTTCCCTGCACGTATTCTAACATCAACAACACCAAAGAATCTAGGGAGGCATTTCATGGTGTGCAATGAGGTAAGCAATTTCACTTAAATTTTCCCTCTTTTCTGATTCATTTATTCCAGATTTGAAATCTCACTTTGAAATTTTATTGTGGAAGGGTAAATACAAATATTGGAAATGGTTGGATGTAGAACATGTACAGATGCCTCTAATGGAAGTGGTGGAGGGAATGAAAGCTGAATTAGTAGCATTGAAGACCGAAGTAGAGAAGGTGAAGGAAGACATGGAACAAATGAAGAAGGAAAAGTACTCTGATGCCATTGCAATGAAGGAGAAAATATATAAGTTTACCATTGGATTTCTTTTTTTGATCATCGTGTATATGATGAAATGAAGTCAAATGATGTATTGAAAGATGTTGTTTGAATAGAATAGAGTTGTTATCTTAACTTCTTGTTGGAATGGAATGAAGTAACATTGATCGTAATGGAATCACAAAGAAGTAATTTTGACTGGAATGTAATTATAAAGAAGCATACATATTAACTGCATACATATTAACTTTCATTGGAATGGAATCACAAAGAATGGAGCCATTATCTCAACTTCTTGTTGGAATGGAATAAAGTAACTTTGACTGGAATGGAATCACAAAGAAGTATTTTTGACTGGAATGGAATCATAAAGAAGCATACATATAACAATGAATACATATATGATTTTGACTGGAATAGAATCACAAAGTAGCATACATATAAAGAATTAGTTTTGACTGGAATGGAATCATACATATATGATTTAACAATGAATACATATAATAAAAAAGTAAGTGAATGTGGTAGTTGGATTCATTGAAATACTCCATTAATATTCGAAATTAAATAAGTTTTTGTCTGCATACACAAAAGTAGTTTCTAGGTAACACAAAAGATTCCTGCATAGACAAAAGAAGGGTCACCATGTGCCCATACACCTACTTGATAGTACCATAGAAAAGCATAATAAAAAGACTACTACTTTGTCTTTACATCACAACTGCCTTACAAAAGATATTCCTACCCACCCACTACACACCTACTAAATTAATCAATAACTGAAGGGTTATCTGCATTGCTCCCAACCCCAAGAATCTGCCTCCTTAATGCTTGTTTGATGATCCGTTCAGAATATTTCCTCCTTCCACTTCTACTAACTGGGACCCTTCTTCTTGGCATGGGGACTGCAGGTGGTGGTGGAGGAGGTTGTTAGGCTGCAGGTGGTGGTGGTGGAGGTGGTTGGACTACAGATGGTGGTGGAGGAGGTTGTTGGACTATAGGTGGTGGTGGAGGAGTTTGTTGGGCTACAGGTGGTAGTGGTGGTGGTGGTGGTTGGGCTGCAGGTGGTGGTGGTGGTGGTTGGGCTGCAGGTGGTGGTGGAGAAGGTGGTTAGGTTGTAAGTGGTGGTCCTTCATTGCCCCTGGATAAACTTAGGTCTGCTCCACTGCCCCTGGATGAACTTGGTACTGCAAACAACAATTAAAATGTCAATTCTTTGTTCAAATGATGTAATGTTTTTAAAAATATTCACCTGATGTATTGCTTTACTGGTTAGATGGACACTTTTTCTTGTTATGACCTGGTTCCTTACGAATACCACACTTTATCATGCTTCCCCTTCTTGAGACAGTTTGTCTACTTGGTCTAGTTAACTCTCATTCAATTGCATCCCTCTTCCTTTTCACTGATGGCCTACCAGGTAATCTTCTTCTTTTGGGAGGCAAAGGCTTATGGTATGGAACATCTGGCCACATATCACTACTATTGAGAGGATTAATGCTATATTTGTAGCATTCTAGGTAAGCCTCAGTAGTGTATGATTGGGACACATATGTCTCTGCATCATGATATAAGTAAGAGATTGCTGCCACTCCATGTAAGCATGGTATCCCTGTAATTTGCCATATTCTACAGGCACACTTCTTTGCAATTAGATCCACTCCATATGCAACATCAGTGAATCTAACCTCATACTTTTGATAACCACAAGGTGTAACTCCCCACAATTTGTTTAAAGAAAAAAAATATAAATCAATAACACATCCGCATAATTAACATAAGCATATTAAAGTAAAAAAACTTACCTCTGTTTAACCTTCAGCTCTTCTATACGCTTCCTAATAGTTGGTCATATAAGCAAATCCCATTCCATTCCTTCAACTCTCTGAGTGTATATCCTTTCCATCACAAATAACCTAATCTCCTCCAGCATAGTGATTATAGGTCTCCTTCTAGCATGCCTAATAGCAGAATTGAAACTCTCACTGACCCTATTCTCCACAGCATCACAATCTCTTCCTTCTTGAAAGAATGCCTTAGACCAGGTAGTAGGATCTTTGTATATAAGGTAATCATAAGCATGAGTATCAATAGATTTGATCTTCTCCATTACACCTCTAAACTTCTCCACAGTACTAGCCCTTACAGCCCTCCAAAATAACTTTAAGTATGCTTGACCAGTAAACCTTTTATTAAAATTGGCCACAATGTGTCTAGCACATTGCCTATGTTCAGCTTCTGGACATCTTTCCTTAACTGCTTGTAATAACCCCTACAAATCACAACATCATTATGAGTGAAAAAGCATAAAAATAACCTAGTACTAACCTTGTGTCCATCAGAAAGAAGGGTAATGCCTGCACCAAGATCACCATTAATGTCATCCATAAGCAAATCTATGAACCACTTCCATGTTTCTTTATTCTCAACACATACCACAACCCATGCTAAAGGGTAGATGTGGTTGTTTGCATCTCTCCCAACAGCTGAAAGAACTTCTCCTCTAACTATACCCTTTAAAAAGCAACCATCAAGCCCAATTACAGGCTTGCACCCTTCTAACCAACCATCCCTTACAGCTTTGAAACACACATAAAACTTGGAAAACAAAGTTGTGGAATATGGCATGATGTCTACATCCAATCTCACAGTAGACCCAGGATTTGACCTGATAATTTCCTCACCATATGACCACAATCTCCCATAATGTTCAATTTGACTTCCTTCAATCTCTTGTAATGCAAATTTCTTTGCATTTCTGCATTGCCCCACACTCACATTTATGTTGAATGTTGTTGACACTTTAGCTTTCATCTTCCTTGCACTCATTTTTGGGTTCTCTATAATTTGACTCATAAAATGTTTCCCTATCCATCTATAAGTTACAATTGACCCAAACTTAAACACCCTACAACAATTATGTTCATTCACTAGAGATTTGATCTGAAAAGTCTTTTCTTTACTCATCCAGGAGGCCCATAGTCTGAAAGGGCAAGATGGTGACTTATTCTTTTTGCAACATTTCACTAACAATCTATTAGAGTCATTTTTTTCAAACCATAGATCATACCCATTAGCAACTACATAATTGCTTAACATATGTTTAAGCTCGGTAGGGTTAGAAAATCGCATACCTATAATTGGTTTCATCTGATCCCATGGCTGTCTCTCATCATACACAGGGTACTGGGGTGGCACGTATTCATCATCTTGATCTTCACTCTCTGTAGGTTCACAAAGGATGTTTAAAAATCTATCATGTGCAGTTTTGTTTGCTGGAAATGGATAGGTAGCATCATCTTCTTCATGATCAACAGAATATGAATCTTGAATAACTGAATCCCCATCTTCATCTAAGTCTTCGTTTTCACTTTCACTTTCCTCAGCCTCAATCCAGTCGAAGATAGGTTCATTATGTTGATCCACATATACATTCATTCTTTTCTCATTAGCATACGCCAAATCCAAAAATTCCTTGTAATCACCCTCGTTCACCAGTGTATGAATTCCAAGACCTAAAGACTCTTGTGGAAGGCAGAAATAGATGTCTTTGCTTCTCGATTTGGTGAGCTTGTGAAGGAATTCCATGAATTGCTCATACCCAAACCCACTGAAGTCAACATCTCGCACTGATGCTCTGTCTGGATCAAAGTAAACTAAGGGATTGGGGGCAAACTGACCATTGTAGTGGAAATCTACTACAATGAAGTTCTGATCAGTAGGATTTGGAGATGATGCCATTCTACAGAACGATTGAAGGAGACGAAGGATCGATAGAGAATTTTGTGCCCTAGTCGAGTTTAAGGACCAAATGAGACTTCGGGGTGTGGTTTAACGAGAAGGAGATGAAAAATCGGGACCTACATGCCACCTCTTTTGCCACGTAGGATAAAAAAATACACGTAGGATCAATAAACCCTTTGAAACCGGCTAAACCCGGTCATAAGGGGAAAATTAGCACAATTCAACAAGTTAAAGGGTTAATAGAGCACGAAAAAAACTTCAGTGACCAAATGTGATCAAATTCAAAAGTATGTTACCCTCTCAAGTCATTATCCCCACTATTTATTGGAGTTTGAGTTTTTTAGTTCTTATAGTATAAATAGCTGACACTATTTATTGGAGTTTGAGTTTGAGACGAAGGATCGATGGAGAATTTTGTGCCCTAGTCGAGTTTAAGGACCAAATAAGACTTCGGGGTGTGGTTTAACGAGAAGGAGACGAAAAATCGGGGCCTACATGCCACCTCTTTTGCCACGTAGGATAAAAAAATACACGTAGGATCAATAAACCCTTTGAAACCGGCTAAACCCGGTCATAAGGGGAAAATTAGCACAATTCAACAAGTTAAAGGGTTAATAGAACACGAAAAAAACTTTAGTGATCAAATGTGATCAAATTCAAAAGTATGTTACCCTCTCAAGTCATTATCCCCACTATTTATTGGAGTTTGAGTTTTTTAGTTCTTATAGTATAAATAGCTGACACTATTTACTGGAGTGAGCCTTAGTGTGGAGTGTAAAAATAAAAACCCATTTTTATTTGATTTCTTGACATATTTAATGGTGTTGTTTCAATGATTTTAAATTTATAACTTGTTCCAACTTTCAAATTTCCCTAGATGTTGTGGCAGTCATTCCAGTTAAAAATAAATAAATAAATAAATTTATGGGAACTATAAACTGAATTTATTCTATTATGCTCGGTTTTAGAGGAATGCCGTATTAAATAACCATGCTCGAAATAAATAAATCATTTTCTATATGTAATTACGTTTCACATTAACTTTCTTTTAATTTACACAACAAAGTGAAATTTTAAATGAAACTTATAGAAAAAACGCAGACAAACGGTAAATATAAACCTTTATTTATTTATTATTTTTTTTCTCTGTATCACTAAAGAAAGCTAAAAGAAATAGACGCACCCCGAAATAAAGGCTGAAGACTTATATCTATATACGGGTTAAAAGAAGATGGGCCTATAAAGATTGGGCTATCTAATCATGGCTAAAAGAACCCAACCGAAATATGTAACAATGTTTTCATTATAGTTATAGAAGCATAACATACAATATTTTACTTCAAATTGTTTAAACGGTTTCAACGTAATGTCTAATTTAGTATGAGTAGCATTCACAGATAAAAAAAAAAAAAAACATATTGTTTCATAAGCATACAACCATAGGCGAATCGACTTAAAAAACCTTTGTCCAAGAATAGCATTTGAACAAGTCGACATCACCAGATCACCTCAAAAGTCTAATTAAGCATATAACATCTGTTCAATTCTTACACCATTTAAAAGAATTTCAATTCATGCACCATATCGCCTTGATCTCTCTTGAAAAACATGTAAAGCACGTAAGAGTTCATCTTCTCCAAAATCTGGCCAAAGTGTTTGAATAAAGTATAGTTCAGTATATGCCAACTGCCACAAATAAAAGTTGCTCACTCTAACCTCCCCGCTAGTCCGAATAAGGAGATCAGGGTGTGGTAAATGCATGGACTTCATACCAACTTCATTATCAATCATTAACTCATTGATTTCTTCGGGTTTAACCACACCATCTTTGACCTTTAGAGCTATGGTTCGACAAGCTTGGACAATATCATACTTGCCACTGTAATTAACCGCTATAACAAGATTGAGTCGCGAATTGTTCTTCGTGGTGTTTTCAGCATGTGTGATAACTTCTCGTAAGGATTGTGGAAGCTTTGATACGTCTCCCATGACAGAAAGCCGGATATTCTCCCTGTTCGATCAAGCAAATGATCAACGTAATTCAATCACAGTTCTCTTTTAAAATTGGATTATGGTCGAACAGTAACATGTTGTAAGCAATAGAAATTTACCTATCCATATAAGCAATTTCATCTTTTATTTTATCTCCGATCAGACCCATGATGAGATCAACTTCAATCTACCACAAACAGAAGCAACTAATCGCACGATTAAACCCATAAAATAAGTTATGAAACTTGAAATAATCTAGTATCAATATCACACATACTTTGGGTCTTAACCAGTTGTCAGATGAGAAGGCGAAGACGGTGAGAACCTCGATTCCCCACTTACGACACAGATCAACCACCGACTTCAAGGCTGCGGCACCGGCCAAGTAACCGGCCTGAGGCATCAATCTTTGAGAGCGAGCCCATCTTCTGTTTCCATCCATGATGATTGCCACATGCTTCGGCATTAACTCACGACGGAGTCCCTCGGGAGTAACAACTGGTTCCTCCGGCGAACTGTTTCCAGCGTTGCAGGCAAAATGAACTTTGATGGATGCATGAAAACAAGGTTTGTTGGTTGATTGGGAGAAGCGCTTTGGAAGGTAAGAGCAAGGAATGGGTGAGTAGAGGGAAAGAGATAGCATTATGAAAGACCAATTATGGGGATGCTGATTGGAGGAAGATGAAGTAATAACCAGGCACAAGGTATATTCCGGATGATTGCCAAAATAATTACATTTGAGTAGATATATAGTCACACTCTTGAACCCTCTCTTATATTATGGATGAAAAAAAAAATCAAAGATAATCACAATGATAATGTGAAACATATATATATATATATATATATATATATATATATATATATATATATATATATATATATATATATATATATATATATATATATATGGGAAAAGTGAATATACTCTTAAGGGTATATAAGCTTAGGTACCCAAACATATCATAATACATAATTTTGTTTGATATTCTCATTTTAATGTTTTTAAACTTCAACCCTTAACTTGATTCAACCCTTAATAGTGAAATTTTCGAAATTTCACTATTATTTTTCTTTTACATCGCATATTGTTTCCGAACACCTATTACGCTATATATATTTTAGTTGAAAATGAAAATTTTATAAGAGAAACATAAATAGGTAATTTATAAAAATAATCGAAGTAATCAAGTTAGAAGTTAAATTATAAGAACATTAGACAATTAAAATGTATTATATGATACAAAACGACGTAATATAGTGAGTTTGGGTACCTAAACTTATATACCCTTAAGGGTATATTCACTTTTCCCTATATATATATATATATATATATATATATATATATATATATATATATATATATATATATATATATATATATATATATATATATATATAAAAGGTTGACATCGGTTGAATACCCATAGTTTTCCGAGAACTCGAGAACTAAAAGTGGAACGTTAGATCAAAACTAATTCGCATGATCGCAATCTTATCGATTTCATTTAATGTTTAATTTTTTGTGTTATTCTACATGTTAATAGAAATGTCTAAAAAATTACATAATAAATCAAATTTTCGGATTTTTTTAAAAATAGTATTTTTTTTCAGTTTTTTATTTTTTAAAGTGTAGATTTTTTAATTTAAAAAAAAAAAACATGAATTTTTGAAAAAAAAATTCAGTTTTTTGCAGATTTTTAAAAAAATAGTATTTTTCAGTTTATTTTTAAATAGTATTTTTCAGTTTTTTTTTTAAATGCAGATTTTTTAGTTTTTGTAATGAAAACATGAATTTTTGAAAAAAAAATGAAAAAATATTTTAAAAAAACTGCATTTTTTAAATACATTTAAAAATGAATAAAAAAAACTGGTATATTTACAAAATGCTATATTTTTTTAACCAAAAAAATCAACATTTTTGGTACATTTATGCATATTTTTACAAATGCATATATGCATTTTTCATATACTATAATATTTGTAAGAAAATCATAATAAAACTCATTTTATTTACTAATCTATAAACACAATACAATAAGTATTTTATTTGATACAATATAAAATATAAAAAACAAAAAAAATGCTACAAAATTTCAAATCATTTTCATATCTTCGTGTTAATATTTTCATATTTTCTTCAATTTATCGTTTTCCACCTCTTCAATATTCACCACAATTTCTTCCAAATCTACAAGAAAATTAAAAAGAATTTGATTGGTGCAAAAACACTCACAAAAATATATATGTGATTTACACGTGAATCACATGTAATTCATATGTGATTTACATGTGAATCACATGTGATTTACATGTGAATCACATGTAATTCATATATGAATCACATGTAATTCATATGTGAATTTCATGTAAATCGCATGTAATTCGTATGTGATTTACATATGAATCGCATGTAATTCATATGTGATTTACATGTGTGTCACATGTGATTCACATGTGAATCACATGTAATTTATATGTGAATTACATGTGAATCACATGTAATTCATATGTGATTTACATGTGAATCACATGTAATTTATATGTGAATCACCAAGCATGAGAAACGAATTTTAGAAAGTAATTGTAAAGTGGTACATAGCAAACAATCAATTTTAAGTTCTACATAGCAACTTAGCAAGCATTGATTTTCAGCAAAAACTTGATTTTCACCAACCTGTGTTTACTTAGCAATCAATCGATTGTAATGAACCATCGATTTTCTGGAATCAATCAATTTTCACTGGAAATCGGTTCATGAAAAATGACAGCTCAATCGATGGTAAATACACAATCGATTCTACATATCAGAGAGAGAGAGAGAGAGAGAGAGAGAGAGTCACTTATAGGCACAAGAGATGGAGAAGACGGAGCAGTCATAACATCGATCTGTCGGATCCGAGGGAGGAAATGAAGATATCTGACGGATGTGAATGCGATATCGCTCAACTCTGCCAGAGCATCACTTCGCCTTTTGATTCCACATCTGAGTCGAACAAAGTTCT